AAAAAAAAAAAAAAAAAGGTATGGACGTTTTTCAGAATAATAGTAAAAGATAGGGACATCATGTACTAATTCTCGTTTTAATAATTTATTTAAGACTCATTTGCGCTTTTAAAAAAAAAACTTGAAATTGTAATTACAATTAATTTTTTTTAAAGAGAATGATATATTTTTCATTTCACAGTTTTTAAATTGAGAAAATAGATTAAAAGAGCCTTATGCGCAATGAAATGTGGAAATAAGGGTAAAAAATGAAAAAAAAAAAAAAAGAAAGAAAGAAAGAAAAGAGGAAGGTAGAAACGTTTTCTACAACAACAATAAAGGTGTAGATGTTATATGCTAATTACGCATAAAATATGATTGACAAAAAAACTGTTGTATACCGTCCCAGCCCCATTTTGGATGTAGACCATTATCGAATGAACTAATTAATGAAAAATTGAAAATAAAATGAAAAAGTGAGGACATTAGTGCTACATTAAACAAAGGTTAATAACATCAAATGTAATAAAAACGTGGTGAAAAAGTATGGCTAGAATGTTACTTTTAAGTTTTAACAATTAACATGGCCAAGTTGCACCTCTGTACGGTTTTCTCCAGTTACCTGCAGTTGAATATAGAGACAAATAAACTCGCTATTGACCCGTGACGAGTTTATTTCGAATCTGAGTGAATAGGACAGGAGAGAGCAGTATCAGAAAGAAAACAACTGACCGTGAAGTCGCATTTGCAGTCTTTTCCAGTATTCCATCCTTTCTCTCTACTTTCTGCAGCAAACAAACAAATTTTCAATGAAAAAAGTAGTCTCTTGATTAACAATTTAATTACTAAGCAGTTGAAAAAGAAGCTGAGATCTCTGTACAAAAAGTTGTCTTTTTTACATTCATTGAAAACCCCATCTCCATGTTTTCAAGATTGATTCAAGAAAATATTCAGGGGACAAACAGCGATGGTTATGGCCAAATGGGTGGTGGAGACCCATGTTTGGTCCTCACCTCCGACCAAAAACCCCGACTCCGGTGGACTGCCGACCTTCATGAACGCTTTGTTGACGCTGTTGCTCAACTTGGTGGCGCAACCAGTCAGTATTTTTCTTTAGATTTATTTTTCTTCCAAACTTTTGATTTCTAATTCATTAGCTGAAAATGTTGGTTTTTTTTTTTAAAAAAAAAATCCTTTTGGTGTTTGCTGATGACTTTCAGTATTGTTCTTGTTTATTAAATTGGATCTCTATACTGTTTATGTTACTTTTTGTATAAATGTGCTTCTGGAAATAGTTCATTTTTTCTATTTTAGATTGTTTTGTGGTCGATGAAGAATGGTTTTATGGCCTAATGAAATAAGAAAAAGTAGTTAAAATCTCGTCTATCCTTGCTCCATCGGCCATTTTCAAAACTTCTCAAATGCAGTATACATACGTATTGACACATTTGTGGATGTTTTTCTTTATTGTTCCCTTCTATTTTAGAACATTTGATCTCCTCTCTCTCTCTCGTGCCTGAAATATTGGACTACTCTGATGTATTTTTCTTACAAATGGTAGGACAACCGGATAAAGAAATTTAAGTTTCCTTTTCCTAATGAAGTACACATGAACAGTGTGTAGATAAAATCAGCACCTTCAATTCTAAACAGTTGAATAATTTGAAATCAAAGCACTATGAATGTAAATCAATCCCCTGTGGATCTCAATCAATTTGGCACCAAAAGTGGATGAATCAGTGCTCAGATCACAAACCCAAAACCACAAAGTCCGTCTTCAATTCTCGGGCTACCAATTGTGGTTTTGGGCCTATGTGATTAAATATTCAATCCCCTAGCTTCTAACAAAGCCTATGAATAACAGCCGACCCGATTTATTCATCAGCCCTGGGTTTATTTGGTATCAAAATACCCAACAGTTGAATCGTTCTTAAAGGCCCGGTTAGTCGTGAAATTAGGCAAGTCCTAGTATATGCCACTAAGCAGCATTAAAGATTAGAAGTATTTCTGGCTGTAGTCCCACTTCCCGCCCCCATCTCCTGGATCATCACACCACGTGCTCACACAACAACAACAAATTTAGAAGGGTGCTACACTTTCCACTACATTCAACCTGGCGAGGAGGGATTCTAGCATTCCAGTTAGTCTTGAAATTAGGCAAGTCGTAGTATATGGTTAAATAAGTGATTTCCAACCTCTGCTAGTAACTCAACTAGATTTTAGTCATAAGCCATTTGGCATTTAGGATGCTTAAGTAAGCAATCACCTTAATGATATTTTCAATCAGTAGTTCTTCCTATTATAAATCTATCAAACAGTTTGTGTGGTCTGTGGTTGTACTCCTGAAGGCTGAAAGCACACCTATTCATGTACGACACTGATGAATGTGCTTTAAGTTGACATTAATCATTAATTTTTTTCTAAGGCAAACTTGATTTCTTGGGATTTCAGAGTTGAAACTTGATATAATAAATGTGTTCTGAATAGGAATTTCAATTGTTTGACTTGTATGAACACATCTAAATTTGCAGAAGCTACCCCAAAGGCTTTACTGCGGACAATGGGTGTTAAGGGACTGACTCTATTTCATTTGAAGAGTCATCTCCAGGTTTGCTTTCCTTTTATTAAAAGTAATCTCTTTGGAGCTTGCAATTCAGCATAATATCACATCTTGTTACAGAAATACAGAATGGGTAAGCAACAGGGCAAAGATCTTGGCGAGGCTTCAAAAGATTGTACGTCCAGTTTTTTCCATAGCTGTCTCTTTGTGTAACTTCTCATTAGCTGCTTTGAATCCCTCCTAATTATTTAGAGCATAATGTGTAAATTTGATAGAGATATATTGGTGACTATATTGCATAACAGCCTCATAATATTGTTTCCCCGAAAGAAAAATGGAAAAACATGTGAAGATAAAAAATCCAGAGAAGTAATCCCCACTCTCCCCAACCTCAAATGGAGAGAATTTGATTATTGTATCGAGAGAGGTTATGCTTAGGAAGTTTCTAAGAGCAGTTCTTGCATTTATGTATCCATAATTTCCGACTGACCTTTTACCTGCCAAATGGAAGGTCTTTCCGCTTCATACCTTCTGGATACCCCTCGTTCAAGCAGTCCTCAAAACTTGCCAGATTCTGACATGACGGAGTAAGAATTTTTATTCGTGTTTAAGAAGTCTATAACACATGCATATGCTTCAAGTTGTTGCAACAATTGAAGCTTTATAATCATTTTTAATGTTTGGATCATATGTCTAGGGGTTATGAAGTCAAGGAGGCATTAAGAGCACATATGGAAGTTCAAAGCAAACTGCACTTGCAAGTTGAAGTAAGCCCCCTCTCATCCACCTTTCAATATTTCAAGAAAGTTGACCTTTTAAGTCATTTTGAAATACTGGACTCTAGTTCATATTTGACTAAGTAGAGCTTAATGATGTTGTACGTATAACTCCTCAACCTCAAACTTTTTATAGGTGTATTTGGGGTCAGGTGTATATTAGGCATTCTAAACACAATTTATGTCACCCTAAATTTCCTAATGTATAAAGAGTTATTTGTAATGGTGAAATCCTGCAGCTGCTAGGGGATGTTATTCTCACATTGAGGGTGAACCACTTTAAATCTATGTATTTCTTCGTGCATGTTTGTGTTTTGCATTTTTCTTAATTTTGCTCCCGTAATTGGGATTAAGGGTTAGTCCAAAATATAATGCCGAGATATTCTCTAAACTAGCTGCAAACTTTTGCTCCAGTCGGCTGAATCCATCTTTGCCATGGTTTACACAGGCTGAAAAACATTTGCAAATTCGTCAAGATGCTGAGAGAAGGTATATGGCTATGCTGGAGCAAGCCTGCAAGATGCTGGTCGATCAAATTATTGGATCTGCAGTGGTAAATGACAATGGAGAGGGTTATCAAGAGAAAGGAACCGAGTCAATCCCTGGCGCTTCCCGTAATCTACTTAGATTGTGCAAATCATCATCTACCAATGAATTGGGAATCCAATGCCCTGAACTAGTGTCTCCCGAAGTTCGTACTCAACAGGCTGTTCGTTCAACTGAAAGCTGCCTTACCTCCTATGAGATTCCGGTAGGATTGCCTCCAGAAGGATCTTCACCAGAACGAAAGAGGCAAATGCTGAACATGGATTTGCCAACTGCATCTTTCATATCGGGTGAATCAGATTTCAGAAGTCCAGATTTGCATGTGGTACAAGTTAACTCGCGTGGAAATATTGGTGTATAAAATTTTAAATATCGTAACTACACTCCGATTTCATTTCTCGTTGTTTCTAGGATTTGAAACAGGCCGAGTTCTCTCATGGTATGTTTGGTACTGGAATTAGATAGCACTGGGTAGTATTGATGAAGAAAAAAAAAAGTTAGAATCATACTACATGTACAATATAGTTTGACAATATTGGTTGGCAACTCACACGGGCAACATCACATTCATCCATTTCAAAAACTGTTTTTTAAATCAATTGTCCGAATTTTGATAACACCAATATTGTCAACCATTACTGTCAAGTAAATATGATTGTACAAATAGCATAATTCAAAAAGTTAAAATCGTGTTTGATGGGGATTAAAATTAGATTTTTAGTAGATTATGATAGAAGTTTTTGAAATGTGTGATTGAAAAGTTGTGGGATACATGAAAAATGTGGTTAATATTGATTGTTTAACTTTGATTTAAATTAAAATCTGATTTTAATCCGGAACAAACATGGCCTTGGTGTACTATATGATCAAGTTCCAGTCAGTCACGTCAGCCAAACCCATCTTATCTTTTATGAAATCGGCAGACAACATAGTTGAACTAACTTCATTAAAGTTATAAACCAAAATTGCTGATGTTTTCATATCAAGATTGAACCTCTTTCTATTACTTACTGATGTTACCAAAATTCGTACCTGGATGAATTCAAGCTGCACGAGAGAACCCCACGCGGTCTGGTCTTCTTCAATACCTGAAACAAAGGCAGCGAGGTGTGTCTTCGTTGCCCCTCCGATGCTTAAGTCAGTTAAACTTCTTGAGAGAAATTTATGCTGGATGACTGAATTAAAAACGTACCGCAATGGCAAAGTTGGGTTGCGCATTTATAGATGCAGGTGGTGGAATCCCAGAAGGATTGAACTTCCTGTGTGGAGGACTCCTAGAAGGATTGAACTTCTAGTAGTTTTACCTTTTTCGGGTGTTTGAGTTAAGTTGGGATTGTAGAGTTGGAGCTAAGGTAGAATTTGCAATTGAATAGGAGTGTAGTGAGATCGGACATGCAGGGGGTTATCTATATAGATCGGGGGATGCGAGGGACCACTAGATGACGTATTACTCGACCTCGAGCTCAACCTGGACCAAGGTCATTTTTGGGGCAGACGAGGATGGGCCCAGGTCGGGCCCAATCATCGAGGTCGGGTTCTTGGAATATCACTTACCAATCCAATGTTTGCGATACATAGAAGATTGATAAATGTAGTTGTAAAAGAACTAAAATTAATTATGCATTTAAATACAAGTGTCGAATACTAGTTTTTTTGAAAAAGAGGGCAGGTTTGGGCATAGAACTACCATCGAATTGACGTTTTAGGTTGGATGAAATCCCAACTTGAAAACCGACCCGGCAATTTTTATTTTAAACTGACCCTAAAATCGACGTGAGTCTGCTCGGTTTCGGAAGGTTAGTCGGTTTTACGGGTAATATGTCCACCCCTATGTTCCTTATTTCTACAAGTTCATTGATAAGTCCAATGTTTCAGCGTTACTTGCGTTTACGCCTCTTTGTTAAACGAACAATATGTAATGTTACACTTACACATGCATATAACCATACCAAATTGCACGCAATGTTACATATATATTAGTAAAGACGTATACTCAACGACATGCTCATGCCCATAGTTGACAATAGTTTAATTTAGTTACTAACACGGTTAAAATTCGTGCTCGAATTATCCAGTGAAGATAGAAAGAGGATAAAATTGAATACTTACAAGAATGGTTATAAAAATGGCAATAGTCAACAACATATTGTGTGACAAATCAATCATCCATAATATTGTATTGAAGAAACCATGCAGCAGAAAGAAGAACAAAACCAACAAAGTTATGAAATTAAACTGTTACAATTTTGTCTTTTGTCTCTGTTGTTTTCTTCGATATCAGAAGATCGTATTAAAAAAATTTTAACTTTTAAATGAGACGGTTTAACATTATATCAATGTACTAAACATCCAATAATTCCGACCTTGATTCGTTCGTACGTGTCAAAATACACCCGGAGATGCCCATTGATGAACGTGTGAAATAACTCGATTTTCCATCATGAACTAACCCAATTCTCGCGCTACCTATTTATGAATAAATTGCGCACGTGTTTCTTCGACCTCGTGGTAATTACACCCACACGGCCACATCTTACTATCACTATATATTCTTCTCTTGTTATTAAATCTTGCTCATGTCCCTGGTCAAGAATTTATGCAGTTACATGTACAAAAAATATGGTAACTTACAGCCGGAAAGGAAATCTTATTCTATCAATTTTCTTGCTCTATGTGGCTATTTCACAGGGCCATGAACACTCACATTCTCCGGCATTCCCTGCGAAGAAATCAGAACAATGTGATGCAGCATATGACTCAACTGGAGCACATTAAATTGCTGCTTCATCGGGATATCGCCCGACAACGTGCAATTTCACAAAGGCAGGGAGTAACTAACGATCAGAATGCATCGGGGAAATTGCCATTGCGTTCAGGTGCAGATTATGGGATCGGAGAATACTTTGTGACGTTTAAGGTTGGAACGCTAGCTCAGAGATTCGTGCTGATTGCTGACACTGGAAGTGACCTGACTTGGATGAAGTGTCGGTATAAATGTCAAGGTGCCATGTGTAACCAGACGTCGTCAGGTCGAAGGAATTTTCGTCCGGATTGGTCGAGTTCTTTCAGGACTATTCCTTGTTCCTCAAGAATGTGCAAGATTGAACTTGCAAATCTCCTCTCTTGCTCACTGCCCTTCTCCATTGTCTCATTGTGCCTACGATTACATGTACTTATATTGTCCATTCTAGTCTAATACTAGATAGCATTAATGCGATTGAAACTAATCGTTATGTTCTGGTTACGGTTATATTAGGTACTCAGATGGATCAGAAGCACTCGGACTATTTGCTAATGAAACAGTAACGATTCGACTCACTAATGGAAGAACGGAAAGACTAAACAATGTTCTGGTTGGATGCACCAAGTCGTCCCATGGCACTTTCGAGACATCTGATGGTGTTATAGGACTTGGTTACAGCAATTACTCCTTTACACACAAAGCAGTCGAGAAATTTGGGGGCAAATTCTCTTACTGTCTGGTTGATCACTTAAGCCAAAAAAATGTATCGAGTTATCTTGTCTTTGGCAACAACAAACAAGCTGCAGTGACTCCACCAGATAAAATGCAATATACAGAGCTTGTCCTGGGGAAGATCAATTCATTCTACGCTGTAAACATCAGGGGCATCTCCATTGGTGGTAATGTTATTTTACTACCACGTCAAAAAGTTTAAACAGTTTGATAATTAAGATGAAACTTTGCAATAACTCGTCTAAAAGTGCTTTTAACCTCACTTAAATTTAGTCTTCTATGAGTCATAGAACTTTACCGGCTATGATATCACGTTACATTATATCATCTAAAAGCTCAAGCAATTTGATCTTTGATGCATTTACTTAATTGAGTTTAATCTCCAACAGGTACAATGTTGCAAATCCCATCTCAAGTATGGAACGTGAACGGCCAAGGTGGTGTAATCCTCGACTCTGGGACAAGCCTAACATTCTTGACTCAACCCGCATATCAACCTGTAATGTCTGCCCTGGAGCATTCTCTGTCAAATTTCTCAAAATCAAAACTGGACATTGAACCTATGGATTACTGTTTTAATTCAACAGGATTTAATAAGTCTATGGTGCCAAAACTAGAGTTTCATTTTGCAGATGGAGCAACATTTGAAGCACCAGCTAAAAGCACTGTACTTGATGCTGCTGAGGGAGTGAAATGCCTAGGGTTTGTGTCTGCAACTGCAAGTTGGCCTGGAACCTCTATTATTGGCAACATTATGCAACAAAATCATATTTGGGAATTTGACCTTATTAATAAGAGATTGGGTTTTGCAAGGTCTTCTTGCACCTAAATGTAGTACAATATATGTAAAAACGGAGTCTTCGTGAGGTGTTTGTTAGGCCAATATTGCGAGTTCTCAAGAAATAATAAAAAAGTTGATCATTACGAGTATTTCTAAGAATGCATGACGAGATTCACTAGTTAAGAGGAAGGAAATTTCTTGACTTGTTATTAAATCGTAAAATGTGAAAATTTCTTTATTGGTCTTCAATCTTTTAATGTTGTTGCAAATTGGTCCCTTACCTCTTCCTTTTCACATCCTTATCCCAACTTTCAGTTATGTAGTGTCTTAGGTCTCTAGCACATGGTTTGTGACTTGTCCATCGGTGCATGATTAGGTAGGCATAAAAATGTTAGGACATTACCACCCTCGACTTTTCCTGTCAAAATACAAAATCACCTCCAATGCATAGCCCCCATAATGGCACCTAATGTTTGTAGGAGTACTATGATCTTTTTGTCCTTTAGTATAAAAAATTTTCATTGATTATTATTGACAACCAATTCTACACGTCACTCTCAATGTCAGTTGGAATGGATATATGGGGCTTGCATGTGGTTGACAAATTTCGAAAAATAATGGATTTTACTGGAATTTAAAGGCGGCCAAACGAGGGCTTAATTTATAATTTATAAATGATTAATCTTTATTTTAATAGCAAATATTTATCTATTTATAAAAGCAATCATACTTCTTGTACATTCGAAATTGACACAACGAATGACACGTCCCATACATGAGGGGTCACGCAAAATAAAAAAAAAATCGCGGACCCTCTATATACGGGAATGTCAACCCTGAATGTATAAGTAACATGATTGTTTTAAAATTAACCGTTTATAAATTCTTGTCAACTTTCCCAAGCTATCTTATTTGGGTTCCATTGTATTCGGTATGTATTTTTTTCCCTTTTTTTCTCAATTACATAATATTTAATAATATTACAGGTAAAATCAAAAAAATTTCATTTTTCTAACCATAAATTCTTTGTTTTTAGAAACTTCAATATCACTACACTATTCTGGTTCGTGGAATTTACGAAGACCTAAGGGTCAGCTCCTAAGGACACTTCATTGCGTGAATTGTCCTTCAAGCTCAGCCTTTGCCAGAAGAAAGGATATATTCTAAACTCAATTCTACAAGCAAGAATTATTCTATCTTCGATTCCATGTATAAAAGGCGCATAAAACTGCCACTTACACGATTCCTCTCGCAATTTCCTCGTTCCTGCACATTGCTTTAAATCGTTGGTTTTATATATTTCTCAATCAATATATACAGATAAGGAAGTGGAGCAGATGAGATATGGGCAATATGTTTGGATTTCGCAAGAACAAGGGCACTAATTCAGCAAGAAGAGGTTTAATTACAAATAATTCTGTCCCACCGTCGTTTCCATCCACCGGTTTCAATTTTTTGAACAAAAATCCAAGTCCCTCTTCTTCTACTTCTACTGCTATTTCTAATAAGGGTACAAGCGGCATGTCTGGCAGCGGGATGGACAAGAAGAAAAAGTATGGATACATCCCTGATAATTTTACATCAATTGACCAGGTTCCTTCTTCTTCTTTACTAATTTTTCCCCTTTTTTTCTGCTAGTTAGCCTTTAAGGACCTGTGATTAAGAAGCAATTCAAACGAATACAACTTAAGGTTTTAGATTAGATCGTGTTTATGACACAATTTGAGTGAATACATGTGACGACCTTAACATTTTAGACTGATAAAATTAATTAATTTTTTACTAATTTTCACCTTCTTTACATTTTGTTATTGAGTTGCCATGATACCTGAGAGAGAAGCAGTTTCGTAAGCTGGTTGGTCCCATGTAGTGTGTGCGTTAAAAAGTGGATAAAAGTCGTGAATATAATTAAATTTACGTAGGGGCGAACGCATAAGTTTAAAGTTTAGGGAGCACAATCGAATTTGCAAAGAAATTGAGAGAAATTTTACTAACGAAGATATACGTTCAAAAAAATCATCCACGTGTAATTTTGCAAAAATTTACGTCCAAATAAATCATACCGCATGTAATTTTGCATCCGAAAATTTACATAGAATATGACTTTTTCAGATGTAAAATTTCGAAAAAAATTTATGTCGTATTTCATATAAAATTTCATAATAAAATGATGAAATTATATTGAGAAATTTGTATTGCAAAAATAATAAATGTTAATGAAATAATGATTTTTTTAAAAGAAAATGCGAGTTAAATGCATTTCTTTAAAACTCACGTTTAACGCATTTTTAACTATTTTTGATATCTGTTTGGTTTATTTGATATGCCTATAATGTAGTTATCGAAATAAGGTTTGAGATGACATAAGCAATTTGTAGATTTGATTAGCGTACGATCGTCGAAATTTTTTTGAAGTTAACATATTACCGAAATTTTCGAAATACTAATTTTGAACGGCTTACTTTGACAAGTCGTAGCGATTGATCATTTCGTATGTCATTAACGCAGTAGAAAACTAGACCGTGATTATACTTTGAAATGGTATTAAGAATGAATATTTCGCCCTTATTTGATGGAGAGTTAAGATTTTATTAAAAGACGAGAGAAAAAAATTAAAATTTATTGTGATGTTGCTCCTGTTGATGGAGATTAAAATCAAATTTTTAGTAAATTTTAATAAAAGTTAAATAGTTATGGATTCCATTAAATATGTTATTAAAATTAACTGTTAACTTTGATTTAAATTAAAATTTATATTTCAATCAATACCAAATATAATTTTATATATACATATATAGGTCTTGTCTGGAGCTGATTTTGAGCTCAATTTTTGTGATTTTTTTTTACCGTTGCAAACCAAGGTAGGACCCACCTATTAGAGTATAAAGTCAAAAAAATCCTGCTGAATTGTACATCCAACGGTCCAAAAGTCAGTTTTTGTGTATACAAAAATCAGCTCCAGACAAGGCCATATACAATAACTCAAAAGTTGGGGACTCAAAAAAGCTTTGTTAAACAGGGGCTTAATCTAGCATTTTATGGTCTGAAAATGACAATTGTGGTGAATTCTGATGCGGGTTTCTCTCTGTGCATTTCTTTTGGGTTTAATGCTCCAAGTCAAGATCAACGTAGTACAAATCATCTTTAATTTTCTGTCCCCACAAGTATTATTTAATCGTTAAAGACATGAATGATGCAATCAAGTTTTATTGATCACACCAAACATCTTTATTAATGGTTGCAACTTGCAAAAGCGATAGCAACTACCCTACCAATCTGAGAGGAGAGAAATAAACTCGAAGTTGTCTAACATAGAATATGTTTGGCTAAGCTTAAAAGAAGTAAAAGTTACTGTTTACATTTTCTTGGACATGTTACATTTTTTTTTTTTTTTAGAACTTTTGAGTAAAACTTTTTTGTTTATTTTGAAACTTAAAAGTTACTTTTAAAGATTTTGTTTAGTTGTTTTGAGCTTCATGGTGCCTACTGCAATGGTAGCTCCCTTTTTCTGTATGGGATCAATCAGGGAAGGGAATAAAAATGAAGATCAGCCCTGCCTGGTTACATGGTAGATGAGCATGAGACACGATGAGAGCTGTCTACTGCTAATAAAAAGGAGAAAGCAGGAAAGGGGTCCCTCTTTTGACTAGAATATTATTCTCCATTATGGAGTGTGATTATGTTCCCACTGAGTCATACAAGTAGGATGCCACCACCACCACCAGAAGTTTTTTAAAAAAAAAATTGGGATTGCTTATACGAGCAATTTTTCGCTATTTTCTTTTCAGATGGTCTAAAAAATCAAACATTTTGCATCCATTCATGTTTATTTTGGGTCTTCTCTCCTTTTCTGTGTTATTGGCTTTACATAGCTTTCATGAACGACACATTCTTTAGGTATATTTTAGTATATCTGCAATTGGTATCCTTTACTTTAACACTTGACACTGTTGAGTTTGGCTAGTCTAATAACAGTTTTATGGAATTCCATTTTAATTTTAGCTTGTGTTACAGAATGAAAGCACATGTCGACTCAAGGGGATATACAGTTAATAATGAACAACACGTGTTATCTTCCTCACTGTCTCTCATTGTGTGTATCATTGTGCATGAGTGATTAATATCCTGTAAATTTCAATGGCTGCTTGAGATTGTCACCGTGGACTAATAACATTAACTTAAAAAATCCTGCATATCTATGAAATTATGTTAACTTGGTAAATTTAGTGGTGTTCCTACCTCTATATGAATAATTTGACCTTGTATCATTGATCGACTGTTGCAGGTCACAGTTGCCTTGAGGGAATCTGGTCTGGAGTCATCAAATCTGATTCTGGGAATTGATTTCACAAAAAGTAATGAATGGACAGGTTGGTGAAAGTAAAGACTTAATTGTCTGATAAGAAGCTGCGTTAATTTCTGATTTTCTGGAGTGAACTTGCAAGGAAATGCCTAGTTACCGGTTATAATATGAAAAAAAGTTTGTTGGTCCATAGTGATGTGTTGCTTTTCTATTTCTGTATGAAGCTTTAGTAAATTAATTTTATTTTGATATTTTGTTATTACATTACTTGGCAGCTGAACAATTGTTTGATCCCTTCTTCGCCTCATATGTTCATGTGTTAGTTTACTTTTATTATCGTATTTTATGTTCTTGACATAGATTTTGTAGAATATCTTGATTATTCCATAGAAACCCAAATATAATATATTTGTAGCATATTAACATTAGTGATCTGTTGTTACTGTCATATATTGGTCAGATCTTTATGCATGTCAAGGGCTGACATCCCAGACTAGTTTGTACGGTTAAAGATCCATAACTTCCATTGGGATGAAATTATTATGGAAGAAGGATTTCATATTTTTCATTTCTTACTGCTTTTGATGGATAAACAATCACATATTCATCACTACTGAATTGTCATAGCATAATTACCTAGAATTTTTATATCTTAAAAGCTAATGCATCAATTTGTTATTGAAGGGAAAGTTTCATTCAACAATCGAAGTCTTCATGCAGTTGGTGATACACCTAATCCTTATGA